TTCTTCAGTATCTCACTCATAGGACGTGGGCAAATCAAATCATGCAGCCTGTCAAACTTCTTGTGCTTCTTCCTCATCATCACCATAATATGAGTTCTGATACCCTCTAACATCTCAATTATCCTATAATATGAGTTCTGATACCCCTCTGCCTCAGATCCCTCTTCCACGTCAGAATCATCTACATTAAAGATCTCCCTAGCAGCTGAACACTCTCCCACCACCTGTGCCTCAACAATGTTGTCTGCCTCCTCGTTGTCTCCCATGACTCCATCTCCCTTCTCAATTACCTCAGCATACACAGTAACCACCTTAGTATCGTCTAAATCAACAAACAGCCCCTCCATCACCTCCTTATCATATTTAACTTCATGCAGGCCATCAGACATCGTGGATCTCGGGGTCAAGTACCAAATCTTCCGGACGCCTTCATAGTGCAAGTGCACTGTAGTCAATGCCACAAGTCCAAAGTAGGACACTTGATCAACATCAACGGTGAATTTTTCTAAATCACCCCCCACATATCGTGGTTCATCACCGGAGAAGTCCATCTCGCCTCCGTGATGGTAGTCAATCCCCATGTATTCTGTCATTTGCATGGTCAAGTATTATACAGGTTGTTATATTGCTTGAAAACAAATAGACACAACAACAACCATAAAATATTATCGTTCACATGTGCTGGTTATCAAAAGATGGGGAAATTAGACCTCCAACCCACTGCAATTGACCATTCTATCCACCAATTCCAATTTCTTTCACATTGATACAAGGACAATTTCGTGAACAATTTGAAAAGGTCCCACTGTGGTCCTCACACCAACTTGCACGAACGTTTTCAAAGAAGCAAACTATAAATAGCGAGAATCGACACAATCCTAAGCCAACAGAATGGGTATTGTTCGAATTGGAGAATCGGTACTGAAAAGTGAAAACCTAATCTTTCAATACTGTAAGCTTTTGACGGAACAAACCAGAATCACCTTACCTTCGTCCCGGGAATCGTCCAGTCTGGCTTCGATCTGTCAACCCAAAGTCGTTGACCGCTCCGGAACGATTCGACGGAATCAGGCGATGGAAGTCTCGCGAATCGTCCAGTCTCCTCTGCTGCGTCGATTACACTTCCTCTGGCGCGGGAAAACTATGCGATTTCGTCGGATGAAGTGGGGGCGGATGAAGTGGGGGCGGGGGGACTCAGGCGGTGGCAGTCTCGCCGCCACGCCTGCAAGACGGTGAGTGGCTCGTCGGCGACTTCGGGTCGTCGCCGACGAAGGGGGAGATGGGATGGACAGATGAGAGAAGAAGGGGTTTAGGATAAGAATCGGGTGAGTGGATGTGAGAGGAGAGGAGGATATTTGCTTTATTTTTTAAGTTTTATGTTATTTATTATTATTATTTAATCAATTCCACCTGGGATGCCACGTTCTCCCTTCCACCTCAGCTTTTTTTGCCAGGTCAGCATTGCAGAAAGACATTCTAACGGGGTATTAACGGACAATTAACGATTGGATAACACTTTGTATATTGATAGTTGCGGATATAAATCCCGATACATAATAGTTATGGATATTATATTGTATTTGCCCTTGTTAATATGCAACAAAATCAATACTGGTATTGGGGGGTTTGTTCATGCACTTCATCCGGTTATTCGAACTAACCGGTATAAACCGGTTATTTTCCTATTTGCTTTGATCGGCCAATTAAACTAACCCGTTCGAATCAAAACCCTAATTGTTTTTCTGATGATGTCTTGTCCATTCGACTCTTTCTTTCCTGCTCTGCCTTCCAATCCTTGATTCCGTCTTCCTGCCTGCGATTCCCCTCTCCGGCGACCGCCGCAGCTCTCCTCTCAGTCGTGCCGGCCTCCGCCTATCACCGCCGTCTCCTTGCTCGCCTCCTCCATTGCTTCTTTCAAGAGTAATTGGCTGCCCTCTCTTTCCCTAATTGTCGCTTGCGCTTTGTTTGGCGGAATGAAATGGGGTTTTTATTCTGGTAGTTGAGCAGCTCGATGTATATGTCCTTCTTCTGCATCCAGATTGGTTTCATTCGTCTCCTCCCTCATTCCGCCGCTCCCGTCTAGGGTTTTAGCTTCACTGCTGCTCCAGCTCACTCTCACTCATTCGCTGGGTTTACGTTTCAGGTCGCCCGGGGAATAGACCTTGCAGTTCCACCAGTGGGTCGCAGAGATGGCTGCAAGTTTCGTTTCCAAGTTCTCTCGCGGTAAGATACCTATTCGCCACTTGATCTAAGGGATCTTCTGTTTACCGAAATGGTGCTCTCTGATTCATTTTGCAGGGAACCCTTTGCTCTTTTGCTTAACTATCAATTAGATAAAGAATGATGAACAGTTGTAATGATATCATGATTTTCTTGGATTATTAGATAAATGGTGAAATGATTCCTTGCTAATGTAGTTGATGAAAATTGCAGTGGGGCGATCTCTGTTGGGGGGACTAAGCAACAACATTTCATCTGTAGCAGCCAGCAGCACATCACCTGAACTCACTTCCAGCAGCAATGCCCTGTACCAGGTTCGTTAAAGTTCTCTCCCTTTCGTCACATGTCAAGCCTTTTGATGTGTATACTGGTTCACTAGATGCTTGAAAATCTTTCTTATAGATTGTTTGGTTATGTTCTTCCTTGTGACTCTTGTCTCTTCCTGATGGAAGAACCATCTTCTTGGCTTTCTATTCTGCACCAGCAACATAGGACGTTCATTCAAATGAGGACGGTTCTCAAAGTTGCAGATAACTCGGGTGCCAAAAAGGTGATGTGTATACAAGCGCTGAAGGGGAGGAAAGGTGCGAGGCTGGGGGACACAATCGTGGCTTCGGTGAAAGAAGCAATGCCGAATGGCAAGGTGAAGAAAGGGAAGGTTGTGTATGGAGTTGTTGTGCGGGCTGCCATGCAGAAGGGGAGGTGTGATGGAAGCGAGGTCAAGTTCGACGACAATGCTGTGGTTTTGGTCGACAAGCAAGGTCAGCCTATCGGTACCAGAGTTTTTGGTCCTGTGCCCCACGAGCTCAGGCGGAAGAAGCACGTCAAGATCCTCACTCTTGCCGAGCATATTGCCTGACTTTTTAGTTGTTGTTTTAGGTGTTATAGATAGTTTGATGTTTCGCTTCCATGTATCTGTCGATGACTCTGTTTCTGGTTAATCGTTAAGCTGTTTACGGCAGAGCAGAACCATGCACTTTGTTTACATAAAATCGACGAGAACTTTCAGCTAGTGTAGTTTCCTCTACTTCCAGATCAATCGGAAAAGTTTATGGGTTTATGGTTCAAAGATAACTATTATAGAACTGCTAGTTAATTGTTGATGGAATTATTAATTCATTATAACCTAAATATACTAATTTAGGATTGAAGTTATCATTAACCATAAAATGTTTTATACTTTTATTAAATTCAAATTAGTAATGATAGTGACTGTCAATACTTAGTAGATCATGTAAAGCTGTGGGAGCGGATATGGTGACAACACCATATTTGTTGTTATTATAACAACACTAGTCTCCAACCAATAGGAAGTTAGGGTTGTGATGACTTTTTATTAGTTGGGTTGACCTAGTGTAAAATCAAAACAGGGGTATAATTGTCATTATGAAAAATATGTTTAAATAATAATAAAAATAAAAAAACAAAAAATATTTTTTTATTTTCGGCCCAAAATTTTGGTGGACGGAATTCGGCCACCGGTCGCCGGAATCTGGTTGCGGTCACCGGAATATGCTTTTTTGCCGCCGGAATATGTTTTTTGTCATCGGAATATGCTCACAGTCGCCGGAATATGCTCATCGTGGTCGGAATATGATTACCAGTGTCGGAATCTAGTCATCGGGACTGGAATATGCCTATCGGCGCCGGAATCCGGTCACTGACGGTCATCGGAGTTTGGTCAACGGTCTTCGTTGACCGGTCAACAGCCAACGACCACCGGATGTTAAGTTCTCCATTGTGAGATTTATGGTTTGGTTTCTCATATTTTTGTATGCCTTTTGTGGTTTGCTTTATTGTGTTTGTGGGTTGCATTAAGAAGTTTCTAGTTTGCTTTATCGTGTTTGTGGTTTGCATTGAGAAGTTTTTGGTTTGCTTTCAAAAATTTTGTGTTTTGCATTGAGAGGTTTGTGGTGTGTTTTAGGAGATTTGTGGTATACATTAGGAGGTTTCTGGTTTGTTTTTGTGGTTTGCTTTAACGTGTTTGTGGTTTGCATTATGAGGTTTCTAGTGTGTTTTTGAAAATTCTGTGGTTTGCTTTGTGAGGTTTCTGGTTTGTTTTAATACATTTTTGGTCTGCATTAGGACGTTTCGGGTTTGTTTTTGTGGTTTGCTTTACGGTGTTTATGGTTTGCGTTATGAGTTTTCTGGTGTGCTTTCAAAATATTTGTGGTTTGGTTTGTGGTGTTTCTGGTTTGTTTTAGGGAATTTGTGGCATGCATTGGGAGGTTTTTGGTATGCTTTTTTATGGTTTGTTTTACCGTGTTTGTAGTTTGTTTTATGAAGTTTCTGGTGTGCTTTGTGGTATTTTTGGTTTGTTTTAAGAGATATGGTTTGTATAATAAGGTTTTTGGTGTGATTTAAAAATATTTATGGCTCACTTTGTAGTGTTTCTGTTTTGCTTCACAAGACTTATGTTCTACATTAGGATGCTTCTGATACATCATAAAACAAAAAAAATATGATAAACTTTGTTGATCGTAGTGATCAGGTATCAACCATTATATTGTCAAAAAGCTATCCATATATCCTTCACTTGTTATTACTATTACTCTTCTATAATTTTAATGCAATAAACAAGGTGGGAAAATGAAAAAAAGAAAAGAAAAGAATTTGGCGATGACAACATTGGAGAATCCATCAGCGTGGAGGGAGAATTCATCCTCTTCTCCAGACCTTGGAAATCGACCCATCGAAGCAGGGGAAAGAAATCGTTCAGAGTAGTGGTCCCCTGAATGGATGAGAATTCGCCGATCAGATCCCAAAACTCCTCCGCCTCTTTATCCACCACATCCGATTCGCAGTACACAAAGTACCGCTTCCCGGCGACCAACCGAAGCATGGTGTTGAAGGCGAACCCTCTGAATTTCGAGCTCAGATTCACCCCTCGTTTGTCTCCGGACTCTGCCTCTCTTGAGAGTTCGGTCAACATCAACCCGGCCTCCGCTCGAGCCGCCATGAACCTGTAAATAATTCGAACAATTCATCGGAACTTTTCCCCAATTCCTCCTCCCCGTCCGGCGAAAGGTAGGAACGAAGGATTGAACATTTACCAGAAATGATTCGCCAGGGGAGAGCCGGGTGGTCATGAAAATCGTTGACCAGACAGTACACGCGACCTCAGGTAAAGCGGCGTCGTCGGTCAAAGAGATGCCCTCCGGTATGGGGAAAACGTGCGCCGCCGGAACCGCCACTTTCTCCGCGTAGCCTCCGCCAACAGCAGCAGGATCCTTTGGCATCCCTACAGCAAGACGCGACTCTCCGCTACTCTGCCTCTGGTGCGTTGTCGTCGAGCTGCTCTAAGCCCGCCGCCTCGAGCTACTGAGCGGTGGTCAGGACGACACGGCGGCGGCGAGAACAACAACGTCGTCGTTGGTGGATTTGAATAAGTGATTCTCGACTTGAGCCTCAACGTTGTCCTATGGATGGTTGCCGGGAAGTGGCACTTCGAATCCGAGACTATGGACGGTGAGGAGGACGGGAGAGCCACCGTGCGGCAGATTCAGAAAAGTCGTCGGGGAGTTTTACAATTATCTAGATATGGACGGAATAAGGGGATGAGAAAATTGATTTTTGGTTTCAATTTATTTTTACTGTATTTTGTTGATTTTACTGTTTTACCCCTGTTATTACTATAACAACACTTAAGGTGTTGTTATATCCGCTCTCTAAAGCTGTTAAGCTGACAAGAAGGCGGGGGGAAAAGGAGACGAGGAAGCATTAGTCTATACTATATACTTAGGTGTCCGAGCAATTGGACCAAAGCTATCAAATCAGAATGGTTCATTTTATTTGGATTTTTTCAGAGTTTATGTGTTAAAAGTTGTTTTCTTGATTTTTTGTGGTAAAAGTAGTGGACTAGTATATAAGTGAAATCTTTTATGCAACGGTTAAAAATCATTATGTCTATATCTAGTCGTTCAAGTAAATAGACCGATCACTATTATTATTGGTTTGTGGTTCTACTGGTCCAGCCGTAAATCGGTTCAATTCATGTAATATGTGTATTTTCTAGGTCGGTTGTCTTCAACCATCGCCGTTGAAGAAACGTACCGGCCAACCGTACTGAAAGCCTGAATTGCAGAGCGGCACAAGAGCAAAGAACATACGGGGAGGGCAATATGAGGACCATTGGCAATCCCCGAAGTGCGCTATCGCTGAGTTTGTCGATGCCACTCCGCTCTTTCTTCGACTCACAAGAGCCACCGCTTCTGGTCCTTTTCACTCGCAGGTAAACCCTCTTCTTCTGAAATGGGTTTTCCCCTCCGCCATTTTTTTTCATACGTTTTCTCGTCAGCCGAGCACGAAGGTTAAGCTCATTGTTTTTCCTGCGTGTTGTCCTGATTGATGTGCTACCGCCCAAGTCTAGGCGTTGCTCCACTGTGTGCATCAGTAGCGATCCTCCTCAGGTGGATAACAATGTTGGCGAGGGTGAAGGAGGGGCCGGTCATGGTGTTAATCGCAGAACCTCGAACAAGACAAAGAAGGCGAAATCCATGGCGCGGATTATTAGTTCCAAACCCTGGTCAGCTGAGGTCGAGACCTCTCTCTCCACCATATCTTCATCAATCTCCAAGACCACAGTGATGGAAGTTCTCCGTCTCGTGAAAAACCCATCAAATGCCCTGGAATTCTTCAACTGGGTTCCCAAAATGGGGTTCACCCACGACCAAGACTGTTACTTCTCGATGCTGGAAATCTTGGGTCGCGCTGGAAAACTCAATGCTGCTCGTAACTTCCTCTCCTCCATTGAGAAAAAGTCTAAAGGCGCTGTGAGGCTTCATGACCGGTTCTTCAATAGCTTGATTCGGAGCTACGGTGATGCAGGGTTGTTTAATGAGTCTCTAAAGGTTTTCGCTTTGATGAAATCGCTAGGCGTGTCTCCATCTGTGAGAACTTTCAATAGTCTTTTCTTGGTCTTGCTTAAACGAGGAAAGACCAATATGGTCAAGAGCATGTTTGATGATATGCTACACACTTATGGTGTTTTTCCTGATACGTATACTTTTAACATTCTGATTAGAGGGTTCTGTAAGAATACCTTGGTTGATGAGGGATTTAGGTTCTACAATCAGATGGTGGAATCAAAATGTGATCCTGATGTTGTTACCTATAACACGCTTATGGATGGGTTGTGTAGAGTAGGCAAGGTACAGACCGCACATAATGTGATGAAGGGGATGAATAAGAAAGGTAGGGATGTGAAACCTGATGTTGTTACTTATACAACTTTGGTAAGAGGTTATTGCATGAAACTGGAGATCGATGAGGCTATGGCGGTTTTCGAGGAGATGGTTGAGAGGGGGTTGAAACCAAATGATATTACTTTTAACACACTAATTAAGGGGCTCTGTGAGGCGCAGAAGTTTGACAAGATCAAAGAGGTTCTCGAGGGTGCCTTAGGTGGTGGAGGTTTTACTCCTGATACTTGTACTTATAATACACTATTGTATACACATTGCAATGCGGGGAATCTTGACGATGCATTGAATGTGTTTGAGAAGATGATGGAATTAAAAGCTCAACCTGATTCTGCTACGTATAGTGTTCTGATCAGAAACTTATGCAAGAAGAAGGATTTTGAGAGAGCAGAGAAACTTTTTGATAAGCTTTTCGAAAAGAAGATTCTAGTGAATGACAATGGCTGTACTCCTCTTGTTGCAGCTTATAGCCCAATTTTTGAGTTCTTGTGTAAAAGTGGCAAGACTTACAAGGCGGATAGAGTGTTCAGGCAGCTGATGAGGAGGGGAACACAAGATCCTTCTTGTTACAAGACTTTGATCATGGGGCACTGCAGGGAAGGTGAATTTGAAGCTGGTTATGAACTTCTGGTGTTGATGCTAAGAAGAGGCTTCCTCC